AAAAAGAAGAAAAAGATAAAGATAAAAATTCTGAACAACAAAGTGACAACAAATACATATCTATCAACAATTGAATCTAAAAATCAAGTGAATAAAAAATCTGATGAACAGAATAAACTGGTGAATATAATAGAATCAGGGTCATAGAAAGGGAATGGACTGACTATTCTCGGGGTGGGAAGGGGTGTGTGGGGTATGGGAGGAGACTGGACAAAAATTGTACACCTATGGATGAGGACAGTGGGGGGTGGGGGCTAAGGGCAGAGGGTGGGGTGGGAACAGGTGGAGGGGAGCTATGGGGGGAAAAAGAGGAACAACTGTAATCTGAACAGTAAAGATTTAATAGGAAAAAATTAATGGCAAAAAGCTTGGCACATGAACTTGGCATTTTAATACTTTAGCATGCATTTCCCAACCACAAGGGCGTTCTCTGACATCATCTCAATGATCGCCCTCAGAACGTTTAATCAATACGAAAGTTCTATTACATTACTGGATGATGTTCGGTCCACAGTCACACTTTCCCTGGTGTCCCAGAGATGTGTCTGGCAGCAGCGTGTTCCGTCATGCAGGCCCCAGGCAGGGAGCATGCCTCACGCCCAGTAGTCCTGCCTCTGGTCTTCCCTGGAGCCCTTCTCCAGCTTCTGGAAGAATCCATCCCTGGTGGAGGGATTAGTGGGAGGCGGACGGTAGTGGGAGGCGAACTCTACGACATCAGGAGCTGCCTTTTCCTTTCTGTGTTCTCAGCCCCTGGTACCCAGCCTGGCTGTCAGTACACAAGTGCATACTGTTGAGATGAGAAAGGCTGCCCAGAGGGGCTGAGAAAATGGCTTTAATTAAGTAAATTTACCAGGGTGATGTTGGTTAACAAAATTATATAGGTTTCAACTGTAGAACTCAATGATATTTTATCTGTATATTGCATTGTGTGCCCGCCACCCAAAGTGAAATCTTCTGTCACCATATATTTACCCCATTTCCCACTCCCCCCCCATCTTTCTGGGCTGAGAAAGGTGAGCCCCATCCTCTGCGCAGTGGTGAGCAGGTTGAGAAACCTTCATTCAACAGCCGTTCCTGGCACAGTGAACAACTGCGGGGCCTGCCCCAGGCGCTTAGAGGGCAGTGATTGAGCCTCCAGCGTCGGTGGCATTGAAAGGGCCCGGCCCAGGAGGAGGTTCGAGAAAGTGCCTGGCACATTCAGGAGGACCCCTGCCCTGTTTTCTCGCCCCTGACCCCACCCACATGGACTTTAAAAGGGTGACCTGGGAGGGCCTTTATTCCTCTGACCAAAGCCTCAGTTGCCCTCGCCTGTGAAGTCTAAAGCTAAGAGAGATAGGTGCCTCACTTACCCGCCTGTCCCCTACCCCAGGGTCCTGGGCTTGTGCTCTTTTTATTTTATTTTTTATTATTTATTTTATTGATTTCAGAGAGGAAGGGAGAGAGAGAGAGAAATGTCAATGATGAGAGAATCATTGATCGCTGCCTCCTGCACACCCCACACCAGGGATCAAGCCTGCAAGCCAGGCATGTGCCCTTGACTGGGGTCGAACCCGGGACCCTTCAGTCCACAGGCCAACATCTATCCACTGAGCCAGACCAGCTAGGGCTGGACTTGTGTTGTTGCAGTTCCTCCTCATCTTGCCTCTGCTGTAAATACTTGCTGTCGGGTTCAGCTGTCACCATGTCCTGCGTAGCTCTGTCCCCAGCACAGAGATGGAGCGTTCACATTTGACAGGCGATGAGACCTTGGCTTCGCCTGTTTCGGTTCTCCACTCCCCTGCCTGTGGAAGAGAGAGGTTTTCCAGTCCAAACGGGTTGCTGAGGAGCTGTGAGGGTTCTGCTGGGGTGGGCTGGCAAACCAACACTCAAAGGAGGGTCACGTGCCCTCATGAATCTTTCCGGTGTTTTCCTGATCATTCACCTCATCACATGCAGGTGTGGGATGCAGGAACTTGCAGCAGAGGGATGGGGTCCTTTTGCATTTACTTGATTCACCCCCATCCAGGCAGGAAACCCCTGCCTGGTGTTTCGTTGTGTTCCCCAAGCACCCAGCACATGCCTCGGCTCCCTGGGAACGTGGCGCCTATTTGTGGATGAGTCACGCAGATCCGTTGCAAGTGCCATCTGACCTCTCTCCCCGCTGACCTGCCGTCTGATTCCTTGTCTTTACTTGACCTAAATCATAGCCATTAACCAGGAAGTAATGTTTCTACAAGTCACACTCCAGAGGCCCTCATTAATTTATTAGTCCACTCGAAAGTCACTGAGCTGTGAGGGAACGTGCTGCAGGAAGTGGGCTGGGCAGACCCTCTCCTTGGCCTTAATTTGTTAAGATGGGAAAGGTCTTGTTTGCACCCTCCCCACGAGGTGTTTGGTTTTTGCTTCAGAGGCTGAAGGCGGCCGTCCACTACACCGTGGGCTGTCTTTGCGAGGAGGTCGCCTCGGACAAGGAGATGCAGCTCAGCAGACAGACCATCGCGGCGATTTCGGAGGTGGCCTTCCGGCAGTGCGGTACGAAGCCCCGGCCTCCCTGCGTGTGGATAGGGCCCCGGGGGTGTTTGCCTGAGAGACCTGTGTGGGTGGGTGCCCTGGGTGTGTCACCACCGGTAGCACATGATCACCGACACTGTTCATGACACAGTTCTTTTCCTGGCTGTCAGACTTAGTTTATGGAAGAACTATTTTTTTCTATTACACTAACACTGGGGCATTAGCACCTTTATTTTATTGTGTTTTAAACTGCCTGGAACATTAGACACTAAATTTTTTTTTAGACATTAAATTTTTTATTTCCTCGCTTTATAACATTTTTATATCGCCCATAGTTTATTTGACAGGTGAACTTGTGGCATTGGTATTTGCTTGACTTCACAGGAAATTAATGTCCTCCAAGCCCTAACTTGTAGCAAAATGTAAAGTTGAGGGATAGTTTCTAGGAATGAAGGTGCAGCCACAACTACCAGGAAGCTTGTAATAAAGGGTCAAGGTGCCGAAGGACAAGGAGGTCATAGTGAGTCAATGGCTCCAGGCGCCTGTGCAGTGGGGCCGCCTGCAGTGCCTCCTCTCACCTGGAGAGGGTTGTTGTATCAGTTACTGTACTTACTGCAGAAATCGAGAGAGATTTCACCTTTTCTCCTGAAATAAGACTGAGATAAGGGTCGCTGAAGCTCGTCTCTTTTTCTCTTTCAGAAAGTTTTGCCAAAGACCTTGAAATGTTTGCAAGGTGGGTACAGAGCTTGATTTCCTGCTACTGTGTTTGTTACATTCTATTGATCCTCTCCAGCTGGTAGTATATTTCAGGAGAGGTTTGTTTTGCATTTTGTGGAGGCTCATCTCTAATCACGATTCCACAGGAATATAACATCTGCTTTAATCACGTCCATTCAGGCTTGATTTTGCATTTTTTTTTGAAATTTTCCAAGTATTTTTTTATCAGTTCTAGGCTTAAAAGGCATGAATGATGTCTCTGGGACTCTGAATGTGCGGGGCTTTTAAGACCATTTCCGCAGGAGGGTGTAGGGTCTGGTCCCCGTGCCAGGCCAGGCTGCACTGTGTGCCAGGCGGTGATTGCTGGCAGGTGGCCGGATGACAGCACCGTCCACCGCTGGCTTGTTCCGAGTGAGCTGTACACTCCTTGAAAAGAGGGTGACTTGCTTTCAGCTGGTAAAGCTTTAGCTTTTACAGGTGATTTATGCTCATCTCTTCAATTAGTACCTCAAGTAATTGAAAACAATTGCAATGAATTGCTTTTATGAAGCAATTTGAATGACTAAGGCCTGAAAGGGCCAAAGCTTTCTCATTTGCTGCCACTTCTGATTTGGTGCCAGCCTCTCACACCCCATACTTTTCACCTTGCTCCTAGTAGCTCTTTGTTTCTCGGGTGAATATTTTGAATGAATTAAAGCATAGGTTCTCAGAGGGCAGGCTCTAAATCTTTCCTATTCCTGTATATATGAGTCCCTAAAACTGCTTCTTCAACTTGGCCAAAAGGGTAAGATAATATTATGGGATACTGATAGCTCGTGTGGTTTATTCATTGTTAATTCAGGCGGTTGCCCCATATGTGTGGCCCATTATCCCCAACCCCTCTGTCTCCTGTGAAATGCACTTACCACCATTGCTTGCCATTTCTTTTCTCTCTTTTTAAAAAATGTTTTAAATAAACTCTTTTTTTATTTGAAAGGGAGACACAAAAGTCTAAATAAGTAGGCAGATTTGATCTGAACGTGAAGCGTGGTGAATAGGAGGTTTCTCACTGCAGCACGCTGCCCTTCGGACAGCAGGAGTGCTGGGGTGCCGGACTGGCCGAGCACTGAGGGTTCGTACTAGCAGCTCTGGCCTCTGCTCGCCGCTGGTGTGCCCCCCCCCCCATTTCGGTGTTAGCTGTGGGACAGAGCAATGAACATTTTTAAATGCTTCTGCAACAATATTGGAAATAAAAAAGAAGTTAGAAATATTTAGCATTGAATCACTGAGCGTTCAGTTCCTGTTTTTATAATCACATTAAAGGTTGATTTCTTTGTCTGGTCCTGGGGGGAAAGTGGTGTGTGTGTCACTCAGACTGGAAGCTCCACAAGGAAGGACATCATCTTCTAAATCAGCGGTTCTCAACCTATGGGTCGCGACCCCTTTGGCGGTCGAACGGCCCTTTCACAGGGGTCGCCTAAGACCATCCTGCATATCAGATATTTACATGACGATTCATCACAGTTGCAACATTACAGTTATGAAGTAGCAACGGAAATAATTTTGTAGTTGGGTCACAACATGAAGAATTGTATTTAAAGGGCCAGAAGGTTGAGAACCACTGGTCTAAATGAAAGCATCTGTGTATGGCTGTCAGCTGCTGCTGTCCCGGTGACCCCAGCGGAGGCTGCACTAACTGCAAGAAGCAGCAGCTTCTGCCGTGTCCACGTGTGCACTCACTGCCCCCTCAGACTCCCTCCCAGCACCCCGAGTGGATGCAAGAGCAAATGTTCTTTGAAGACTCAGCCTTTGTCTTAATTTTACGTTGGTTTTCATAATATTCCTGTTTGCTCTCATATAAAAAAATTCTGTTTTAAAGGTCATCACTGAATAAAATGGATGTCCCCAGAGGTCAGCTTTGTTTGTCCTGGGCTTTGAGTTTTCCCCCTCACCCAGGCTCTACTTCTGGAACTATGGTTACTCTGAGAAGTCTGAAATATGTGCTGTTTAGGCTTCTCATAGTAATCAGAGTTCTGCAAGTGTTGAGTAATTTTTGTAGGCTGGCTGGGAACCTAACCATTGTTTATGTGAGAAAATACATTTAAATTCTAAATAACCAATTCACCTATAAACTTGGGAAAATCATCTTAATTTATGAATTTTTCTTATTTAGCTCTGAAATCTCTAGTCACCTAGTATTGTTAATGTGTTACAGATGAAATGCTTTGAAGAAGATATTCTGTAGTAAGTAAATTCTAGGAACATCCTATATAATAAAAACCTAATATGCAAGTTGTCCCCTTGGGAGTTGGCCAACCGGGAGTTCAGCCACTTGCTAGGATGTGCACTGACCACCAGGGAGTGGCGCTGAATGAAGGAGGCCCCGATCGGCCCTGATTGCTGGCCAGGCTTAGGGACCCTACCTGTGCACAGATTTTGTGCACTGGGCATCTAGTTGTGGTAATAATCTTTTTAAAAAATATATATTTTATTAATTTTTTACAGAGAGGAAGGGAGAGAGATAGTTAGAAATATAGATGAGAGAGACATCAATCAGCTGCCTCCTGCACATCTCCTACTGGGGATGTGTCCGCAACCCAGGTACATGCCCTTGACCGGAATCAAACCTGGGACCTTTCAGACCGCAGGCCGACGCTCCATCCACTGAGCCAAACCGGTTTTGGCGGTAATAATCTTTAAAACCTAAAAGTGTTATAGGAAACATGGCTTTGTTCTTTTCCCTAGAAGTTTTGTGGAGTCAGGAGTTTGAATTAGGAGTGTCTGGTGTAGAGTGACCGGCATAGAACATACCCGCCCCTCCATGGAGGAAAGTATCAACACCACACGTGGCAGAGACACTAGATGAGCCGAGTGGTAGAGAGGACTTTGTTGTTCCCTAAACAATTCTTTGTGAAGAGATAAGCTAACTTTACTCTGGAACTAGTTCAGTGTGCTGCTTCCTTTTACTGCACTTCACCAAGAATGAAATACTGACAGGGCAGCCTGACGGTGTGATTGAGGCGAGGGCCACACGTGGCTGTGGCACTTAACATCCTCCACCCAGGACGTCAGCGGAGTGGCCTCACGCTGTGGCTGCTGCTGTGTCACCTGGCTGACTCCCCCTCTCTATCGTGGTCCTTGCAGGTGGCTCATTGGAAGTATCTCCTGAAATGGACATTATCTCAGGACAGGCAGCTATTGTCCATCATGATAAAATGACACGTAATATTTGCACATTTAGCAGCATGGGAAGGAATAATTTGACCAAATTATGGAGTCTAATTTCTGTGTGACTTTATCTGTAATTCAACAGATATTTAGTGTTGACTACTATGTGCTGGCCACTTAGGAGTACAAAAATTCCAATTTATTCCTATGTACACAGTTCCTATTTATTTTTGAAGGAAGTTAGAAATGGCAAGAAAGGGTGTAGAGTTATAAATTATTGAATAGAGCTTATTATCTAATTACCTTAAATTTTTAAATGGTTTATTGATTTTAGACAGAAAGAGAGAGAGAGAGGAAGAAGAAAGGGAGTGAGGGAAGGAAACATCTATCTGTTCCACTTATTTATTCATTGGTTGCTTATATGTGCCCTCACCCAGGATCGAACCCTGAACCTTGGCATATCAGGACGATGCTCTAACCTGCTGAGTGACCTGGCCGGGGCTCAAATCACCTTTCCAAACAAAGATAGGGGATTGGATTGAGAATTTAAATCCAAGTTATAAGCAAGAAACGACTCTGGTTTAAAGAATGTTCTTTGTTCTAACCAGGCTCTTGCCGAGGGAGCCCCTCACCTCCTTGAGGGGAAGTGGGATGTTAGGAGACATCTGCCCAGGCTCTTTGCTGTAAGTTAGTCCTGGGAGAAGAGCTTCAGGATCTGATCTGAGAGAAGCCAGGCCTCACGGAAATTCTCTTTATTCTTCTACTTAATGTCTCTTAAGCAGAGGCGGTCTGTGTGTTGTGAGACTGCGTTCCTGCTTTTCACTGGAGGTGCAGTCACCTTGCTTTTCTGTGGTGTTTGCTGTGACCATGGTGACCAAGGTCCTGCGGAAGGTGAATGCCTCGGGCTCCTGGCCGCGCTTCTATTCCTCAGGCACCCGCAGGGGAGGTGGGCAGATGGGCTTGGCTTTCTCTCGGTCTCTCTAGTCACTTCATTCATTTTTGTGTCTCTGTTGCTTAATGACCTTAATCTGAAAAGATGGGCTACTTAGAGATCCTTGCTAGCCTGAAGTCTGACCATGAACTTTTGTGTTTCATCAAAACTTTAAATAATACCAAACATTTTGGTGAATTGTTTCTGCCCTTTCTACAGACATGCGAAAAGAAGCACAATTAACACGGAAGATGTGAAGCTCTTAGCCAGGAGGAGTAATTCACTGGTGAGAGATGAATTTCTTCCCTCACTCCCCTTTCCCATCAGAATACATTATTCCCAATTAATCACTTGCAGCCATGAAGTGATTCCCCAGGGCACCTTGCATTAAAAACGAGAGATGGTTGAACCGTTCAGACCTGCCTGTAATTTATAGTCTTCCTTTCATTAAGATGGATCTTGCCAAGCCAATTTGAAATTTTCTAATCAGCACTCTCTGGATTTCACAGTTTGCCTTTTTGTAATATCTCAAAACTTTGGTCCCATGTTTCATTCACAGCGTGATGTCAGCGATGGGGCCCAGGCTAGAGTGAATGGGGATAGTTGATGGTGCCCTCAGTTTTCCGAGGGCCCAGGTATGGAAGGAATATCGGGACAGCCAGGACGGGCAGGAAATAGTCTGTCTTTCCAAAGAAGGCTGGGAGTCATCTTGACCACGTCCTCGTTTACAGGGGACGCTGTGATCCCCCCAGCCCAGTGGCTGTGCTGACGGCAGATCCAGGACGCCCTACGAGGTTCCCTCACTTAGTCCGATCCCAGCAGTTAAAATACTTTCTGTTCCTCCCCACAATGTGAGCTCCGCGAGGACAGGGATTTCTGCCTCTTTCTTCTCTGGTCCATCTGCTGTGCCAGACTAAAGACGGGCACACAGTAGGTGCTCAATAAGCAGTTGTTGAGTGAATTTCTGCAGCAATTAACTTTTTATAGGGTTTTTAAAAAATAAATATTTATCATGCCATCCAAGCCTCACAACCGCCCTCCGAGGATTAACAACACAAGTCATTAGCCCATTTTACAAACCAGGCAGCTGGAGTTGGTAACTTTCCACAGTTAAATGTGAAGCTCTCAGTTGACAGCTGAAACTTGACTTTCTAAACCCTGAAGAGTGCTGTTTCTACTGGACTCTTTTGGGCCTTTGCCCTTCTAACATTCTTTCTCCAAAGTTTACGTCAAGGTTGAGGATGAGATGATTCCCAAGTACAGTAGGTAAGGTGCCGGTGGTGCT